CTGAGCTACAGGACTCTCTGACCTCCTAACCCACCATCCTGTTCGTTCCCTCCACTCAGTGGGCTCCGGCCTGCTTCATGTCCCCCGCCTCGCTTGCCCCATTATTGGCAGGCGGGCCTTCCGCCACTCTGCCCCCACCCTCTGGAACTCCATCCTGCAGTCCCTCAGTCTCACCCCCTTCCTTGCCACCTTCAAGACCCATCTCAAGACCCTCTTCTTCGATCGTACTTCGATCTCCCTGCTTCCCCCCTGCCCTCCACCCCAACCCCCAGCTCGGGTCCATAACTCTATCTGTCCAGTGCCTTGGGACGTCCTCCCGACATGAAAGGCGCTTTACAAATGTAATTTTGTTGTTGTTGTCTCCATTGGGTGGGGGTGGAGGGGAAAAAAAAGGTACATTGAAGATAGAAGGTATAACGGAAGGCAGCGACAGTTTGACGTAACTGTGAGTCAAGAGCTGCCCAGGTTCAGTCAGCATCTAGACCCACCCCACTCACACGCTACTAGTCTTTCTATCCTGGGCCTGCCCAGCCCTGGGGCGAAATGCTAATCCTCTTAATACCCGCACCCAATTCCATTCCTCCTGCCTTGCCTGCCTAAACATGTGTGGCAGCTCCCAGTCTCAAACTTCCTTAATCTCACTTAACAAAGAATGAGTGTATTATGTAAGGTTTGACACACAGACAGCTCACTGACTGGCAATTTTCACATCCAACACCCTCTACAAACCTTCTGTTTGTAAACACGCAACACGGAACAATACCCAGTCACATGTAGTGTCGACAAAGTTCTCAAAGTCCTTATTTCCAGATTAAACTAGGTCAACAACCCACAGCCACAGAACATAGAAGTGTGGGGGAAGGTGCAAAGCCATAATTGTTTTTTTAAAAAAAATAGGAATGAAATAAATATTTGAAAAGGAAAAATGTGAAAGGGAGTGGAAACACAGCTAAAGTATTGCTGAGGGAGCCAATGCATGTGCATAACATCCATGTAAGATCCTGAAACAAAAACAGAAAAAACAGTAAACACAGCCTGAATTAATTATATTGAATTACTTAGAATGTTACAGCACAAAAACAACTTGCATTTATATAGCACCCCTCACACAAGGTAGCATCCCAGAGCGCTTGGACGAACTAGTCCATTCCAGTGTTTATACACAACATAACACATTTATCCATCCAAGTTTCATTTTAAATATGTTGATGCTTTTTGCTGAAAGTTCCACTATCTTAAAAAAAATCTGCGTAAAAAATGGTCCACCTACACTCCCTTTGAGATCTACTACCAGCTATCACATATCTATTGGGCTCAGCAACAAACAGAAAATTTACTCCGACCTCACAAAATCTTTTGAGTTCAGTCCACATTATTTGCGTTTTGACATTAGTGTGAAAGTGGGTTATTCCAACAAGAAGTTGCAAATATCAACTCTTATCAGGGACCATATGTAAGTCACACCCCTGCAGAAATGTTGCTAAGACCTACCCAAAACTGCTTAATTGCAATTTGCGATTCCTGTTGCTGTTAGGGATAATGGAAATTTACCAGCTAACTCTGGCACAGCACAAGGTACAAGTAGCCAGCTTCTCTCCCTTAAATAAACAGAGATTCTTGAAATCTGCCACAGTAGTTGGATTGATGGTTCATATGGTTAGATGAATTTCAGGAAAGTAACACAGCACGCATCCTTGGATGGGTCAGTGAGTCCATTCCACACTTGATCAGAAGGTAAAACCTGTTATGGTCCCTCAACACCAGTACTCTGAGACTGCAGTAAAGCATTCTTCAGCTGGGTAATCTTCAGAGCAGCTGCTCCAGGGATGAGCAATTGGCTGCTAATGTAGTGTTGCAGAAACTCACAGGAATTCCTTTCCGTTTTGGAAGCTGTGGCTAAGGGGAGCAGTCAAACAGCAACTGAAAAGAATATTTAGGATTTAAATTTTGGGATTGTGCAGTTGTGTAAATTTTTCCAATTTTCAGATTGAATTTCAGCTTCCCACAGCTGAGCTAGAGTTAGGATCAACTTCACAGAGGGCACTAACTACCACTCTACTCTAACGCTACAACTTCATCTCTCTCTCTATCCTGACTCAACACCTCAATCCTAACTCTACCTTTCACCCTAACTCTATCCCTCCGGAATTCCAGAACCATCCTGCCTGACTGTCTGTCCGACATCAAGTTTTGCAGGAGTTGTAACTTTCCAAAGCTTCCCAGTGGTTTCGTGGGCAGCAGCACTGCCTGGGTAGCAATACATACAGAGCAGAATATTAGTTTCACTCCCTGAGCAAGACTATTCAAACCTATATTATCTCCAGAGTAATGTTAGAAATATTTCTTCGACTGCTGACAGCAAAGTGTGTTGAAACAAATCACCCAGTAGGTCAATCATTTGGACTGTAACCTATCTGGCTGCTTTCAGGAATGTTTGGCATCTACTCCCATCTAAGAGTCAAATAAAAATAATTACACACTGAAACAAAACAAAGACCAACTAGTGACTATTCTCCTTGGTCAGCTCCAAGGTGACATGCTTGGTATAGGAATGTTAAGATCGAGCCAAACCTTTGTTGGGCTCTTGGTAGTCCTATTCTTGAGCCAGGCGGGTCCCCAGTACTCCAGGACCCTGCACATGACAGCACAGACAGCGTGGCTCATCGGCAGGACTTTGGAAGGACAGACAGGTCAATTAGAAAATGGATTTTTCCCACTCAGCTCCTGTTAACTCTGCAAGCCAAAGCCTTAACAGATTTGATGGTTCTCGATGGACAAGTAGCGGGAAAGCTTACCAGACAGCGCTCTCAATGGTTTTAGCTGGTTAGACTCCAGCAGTTACCCTATCGCACACTCTGGAATCGCCATGCACCTAATACTTTCCGGAATTAGGTAAGCAAAATGTATCTCTCCAGGGAGAGAGTGCACACCCAATTTATTAGAAGGAAAGTTACCTTCCCGGCAAGAGGCAGAGTTGAGGGTAATCAAGGCACACCGCCAATCTAGTTTTTCAGGTCACAGAGAAGATAAAAACAGACCTCATTCAAACCAAATCTCAATAGCAGCAACTTAACGTATGCAAAACAAATTGCGCAAAACATAAGTGAACACAATATAATACAAAATGACATTTGAATTGTGCCTTTCATGTCGGGAGGATGTCCCAAGGTACAGGACAGTCAGAGGGAGGGGGTTGGGATAAGGGAGTTTAGAGGGCAGAGAGGTAGGAGGGTGGCTGAAGGTACAGTTGAAGAGGAGGGTCATGAGATAATATAATAATCCTTGCATTTGATGTAGCACTTTTCACGTCTTCTAGACGTCTCAAAGCGCTTCACAGAATATACTGTAAAGTGAATTGACTGTATATTTGTGGGCGAATGCGGCAGCCAATTGCGCACAGCAATGTCCCACAAACAGTCGTAGATTGAAAATGACCAATTTATTACTGTTTTTTGTTTTGGAGGGATTATTATTAGGCTCCGTGTGGAGTAAGGAAACTTGCCCAAGGTTTCGCCCTCTGCCTGGAATTGAACTCAGGTCTCTCGCACTCAGCAAGTGCTGAGCAAGTGCTCTACAGTGCCTTTAAGGAGACAAGGGAGGGAGCGAGGCGAAGGGAATGTGGGATGGAAGACCTGGATTTGATTCCTGGGCAGGATGAAACGTTGGGCAAATTTCCTTACTTCACACACAAATGCCCGTTTACCTAGCAGTAAGTAGGAACACGGTTCTTAGTCGATTGGAGGACTGCTTTTCCAGGGGTTAATAAGCCCGCAAAAAAAAAAAATCTTTTGAGACGTCACAAAGACAGTAATCCTTGCATTTAATATAGTGCCTTATCATGTCGTTGAGACATCTCAAAGGGCTTCACAGAATATACTGTAAAGTGAATTGACTATATTTTGTGGGCAAACGTGGCAGCCAATTGGTCCCACAAATGGTCATGGATTGAGTGACCAAATAATGTATTAATTTTTTTTTGAAGGGATTTATTAACCCCTGGAAATGCGATCCACCAATCGACTGATAACCAGACGCCTGCTTCCTGCTGGATAACTGAGAGGCGCGAGGAGTAAGGAAACCTGCCTACGGTTTCGCCCCCGCCCAGGAATTAAATGCGTCCCGACTCCCAGGGAGTGTGGGGGGGGGGGTCGGCCCCGGACACGGGGAAGCTTCCGACGCCGAGGCGAGGCGGCAGCAATTACCGCACCCTCAGCCCGACCGGCGGACGGGCGCCGCGGGCCTTTCGGGTCGGGAGAGCGGGTCCCGAGCCGAGGCGCCGGGCAGGCGCGGTGATGGGCTGTCCCGCGCGTGGTCAGAGGCCCGTTTGCCGCCGCCGCCGCCTTCCCCCCCAAACAAACCCCCACACCCCCAATTCATAGTCAAGGTGCAACAAGGCGCCGCGTCAAATACAAGGATTATTGTTATGATTATTATTGTTATGATGATGAGGATGATGATGATTAATGAAAGGAACCGCGAGGGATTGGATCACCCGGTCCGGACCGCTCGCTCGCTCACTCGCGCGCGCGCGCAACTAACCGCCCCTCAGGCGCCGGCGGCCGAAGCTTCTGGCAATAACGACGACCCCCGGATTTCAAATCGTGGTCACGCGCCGCGGGCCGCTGCGCTGTGATTGGTCGACGCCGGACGACCGTTATCCGCTCGCGGGGGTTTCCATTGGTCGAGCGCTGTCACCGCTTCCCGCCCGCCCGCCTCCCCTCACAACCCTCCCCCCCACCCACCCTCCCTCCCTCCCCCCCCCCCCGGCTATCTCCCGCCCCATCCATCCCTCGTCCACCACCCGCTTCTTCTTCTTCTTCTTCTTCTCTGTCGCTCGCACGAGGTCGTCGTTCCTTCGAAAGTCTCTCCCCTCCCGCGATCACCGGCCCACTCCAACCCAGCGCCCGAAGCAGCGCCGAGCCGTTAACATCACAACCCCCCCCCGCGCCCGCACCACCACCCCCACCCACACCCTCCAACCCCGCGCCTCAAGCGGCCCCAACCCCAGCTCCACCCCCGCCCGAGCCGCCGAATCACAACCCTTCAACCCGCGCCTAAAGCAGCCCCGAGCCCAGCTCCGAACCGCCACATCACAACACCCCCCCACACACACACACACACAACCCCCGCGCCCAAAGCAGCCCCGAGCTCAGACCGACACCAACGTCGTAGCACCAGCCCCAGCACCGGCGACAACCGAGCCGCCCCCGCCGCAGTCATCCACCAGCAGCCGCCGAAGCGGTGAGTTAAGGCGCGGCGCCCCGGGTTTTGGGCGGCCCCGAATGAATGAACGCGGCGGCCATTTGTTCTGGAGGAAGCCGAGAGTCGGTCCAGTGTTGCGGAGCGCGTGGGGTTCTCGACTCGGGGGCTCGAGGGCCGGAGTCCCTTCGGGGCTGCCGGTGCGCACAGCCTCACGCGCGCGGCGGGGGGGGACACGGGGAGGCCGAGCTTTGCTGCTTCTCGTTCCCGACTGTCTGGGACCGGCTGTTGTACCCTTTGAGTTTAATGCCCCCTCTCCCCCCCCCAACCCCCCCCCAAAAAAAAACCCCAAACATAATTTTAGGATGACCCGAACGGTTAGACGGTGCTTTCGGGTTGAGCACATTGCTGCCCCCCCCCCCCCCGGGGCGATGACCCTATTCACCGGCCATTTTGTTTTGCCGACGTTGCTTTTTACTTGAGAAGTGGACTTGGTTGTGTGCGCGCGACAATTGCGACCGCTTCCTCGCCCCGAGCCCCATGGGTTCAAAAATCTATGAGCTCGTCGAGGATGTGGTGTTTCTCGGTCCCGTGTCGAGGCTCCTTCTTTGGTGTTTGTGTTTTTTCTCTTTAGTTTAAGTGGCAAGCTGCGCAATTGNTTTTTTTTGAGTATTGCGGGGTTTTGTGTCCAGTTCTTAAGGGACTCGTCTTTGGGAAGGTAGTACAGAGGTCCTCCAATAAAGTGATGCAATAGTTAGAGGTTTTATTTCTCGTTGGGAGACGGGAGGAGCTGAGGCTGTTTTCACTGGAAATCGAGGTGCTCAACATTACACGAGGGTAAATGGGGAGAAGCCTTCCACGCGTTGATGAGTTGGCAACTGGGGTTTGGTAAATTTTCAGTCGTTGCCCCCAAAAAGGAAAGATCCACGTTTCTTTTTATTGGAACCGAAATGGTGATTAATATAGAATCCACAAAAGCTTTTGAAAGGCGGTTAGGCGCATTTTTCAAAAAGGAAAAAAAGGTATGGGAGAGGGCAGATATTGTAGGGCAGATAATACAAAGGTATTGTAGGTCTCAGTGGAGGGCTCTTACAGAGCTCCTTCTGTGCTGTAGGATTCTATGATTCTATTCCAGTTGATTAAATCTGGCAGCGAAGGTTGTTGCCGCTTCTCAGCTACATTGATAGACTTTGGCCACGTCAGTTGAACGTTATTGTTTGGCCCTAAGCAGCCATTTAATAATTGCAGGCTTTGTTCTGGGTTGCCTTGACATTTGGCACGGGATAAGGGACAGCAAAGTGGATTTTTTCAGATGAAGAAGGGAAATAAAGTAGAATGCTGTATTAAGGTTCAAGGGTAAGTTGCAAAGGAAGGGAAAATGACTTGTAATAAAATGATTCTTGCATTTGTTAAAGCATCTTTAGGATTTTATTGTAAAGTATAGTGATTATTTTGTAGGCAAACGAGCAGTCATTTTACACTTAGCAATGTTCTACAAACGATGTCCTGAAGTGAATAACCAAATCTATCTGGGAGGATATTGGCTAGGACATTGGAAGGAAATTTTCATAATTCATGACTTGGTTTTCAGTAATCCTGAGTATTTTCTTGATGGGAGAGTATTCCCTTCATAATTAGACTGAGCACTATGTTGACTATAACCTGTTTGGGGACTAAATTCAACATGACACATGAACAGGATAGTGGCTTTGGGAAGGGTAATGGCCCTACATTGTTAAAGCCTATTAGAGCTGATATTGTGTTTCAGATAGTTGCCAGTTTGTGCCCAACTCTGAAGCTGCCAAAGAGCAGTAATTTGAGAATGCAGTTCAGGTTAGTAAACAGTAGATCTTGTAGTCAAAACATTAAAAACTTGTTTAATTTGGGGATTTTTTTCCTATTCTATCTTAAATATAATCTGAGCTAGGGATCTTAAAATAAGAGCCACACCACTTCCACATTATTTGCTTTACCAAAAATGCTCCAGTTCATTGCAAGAAACTCACATACTACATACCCATAAAATGATATCTATATGATCTGGTTCCCAGTGTTAAAAAGTGTTAGCCTTTCCTATACTGTCCATTGACTGGCTGTACAAATGTTTGCAAATCTCATTCAGACTTTCAACAGGATGCAACAACAAATTACATTTGCATTGCACCTTTCATGTCGGGAGGATGTCCCAAGGAACTGGACAGTCAGGGATTTGCACCCGAGCTGGATACTGGATGTAGTAGGACTTAATATTGCAAATGAATGTAATAAACTCTGCTCTCTGTCATCTCAAGCATCAAGTGCTTCACCTTCCCTGTGGTTGCTTCCAAAGATTAGAGGCAAAACTTTAGATGAAGATTCATTATTGCCTCCACCAGATAACCTTGGTGAAAATCAATATTTTTGTCTCCTTAGATTTAGCTGACGGCAATCCTGAATTAACTCCATGGCACTAACCAGGCCAAGCAACCTGATCTATAGTGATTCCAATGTGACACCAATTGTCATTTGGATATTGATATTTATTCTTAGCAAGGTAGAAGTAGATATTGGGGTAATTTCAAGAGGGAAATGTACCCTTTTTGATTGTGCAGTGATTGGGAATACATGAGCTGGGGTCAGAGATGGGATTTGAAGCTTTTTGAGTCCCACATATTCCTGTTTCTAATGGGCCACTTATATAATAATAATCCTTGCACTTGATAAAGCATCTTATTATATCATTGTAATGTCTCAAAGTGCTTCACAGAATCGACTGTAAAGTGAATTGCTTGTTTCGTGGGCAAAATTTATTCCACTGGAAAGAAACCTATTTCAGCTCAAGGGCAAATGATAAATCAGTCAGTTGTCAGTACAACATGCATGGAATTTCCGAGACTCAGCATGAACTGGGATTGTAAATCTTGATATGAGTGAGATTAGAGCTGATGTGAGGAAGAAGAATGGACAGTAGTCAGACATTGTGATGCAACAGTAGGATACTTATTTGCATGTGGTCACTGGAATATATTGTACAACATTCTTTGAGGATAAGGTTTCGGGCTTGATATGCCACTGTCTGCCATGTTTGTGCCTGTCGTGAACTTTCATTCTTGGTTGGATACGCCCCATCAACAATGACAAACTTCAAGCAGACACTTCCATTGAGAGAAAGGTCAATGTCAGTTTGTAGCATTCTACCAACAATTAGATGTATTTTAATGCAGTTTGACTAATTTCAGTTTCAATTTGATGCTGCTTCCATTCAGTGTATATTATATTACCACTGTAAAATTATCCCAGAATGATAAAACTTCATGGTCAGAATTTTTTTTTAAAAAAAAGGCTCTGTCGCCTAGTGGCTCTTAGTTTCACCAAGCTTTAGAGAACAAAAGTCCAGAGTTTGTGGTGGAGTTAACAGATATGAGTGAGCCGAAGTTGGCTCAAACTGTTGGGCTTCAGCCAGGGTTCTTGTTCCTGCTGAAGAATCCCTTTGAACTAAGCTACCCGAAGAAGGAAATAAGAGTTGTTGTGTGGTGAACACTACTGAGGGTGAATTAGTTTGCATAATGTTCGCATAGAGTAATTTGCTCATTTGACATGCTTGATATAATTAATACATTTCATAGGTTAGTAAAACAAATTGGGTGTTTCTAGAAGTTTAGCACAGTTGAAACATTAGTTGACACTTGCGTGTTCTTGGAGTGGCTAGTGAGCATTTCTGAACAATAGTTGCATTGCTAAGGGTGAATCATGGCTTTAAGTGACGTATAGGAAATTTTTAGACTTCAAACGAAAGCTGGAGCTTAGTTATCATTTTGATATTCAGTTTACTATCTGGAATGGTATTGTATTTAATATGACAACTTCTAAGCATGTGACAATTACCATAATGTAATGATCAGAAGGAATTCTAGCTACTGCCTCAGTGTTTAGGATCTTAATGTGTCTTTAGAGATGGTGGTACTGGAATAGGAAGAGCTCATTCAACTTGTTAACACTGTTTTGCCAAATGGATAATGACAGTTCTTTTAATTCCTGCCTTTTATCCATAACCTAATTCAGATGGCCATCAATTCAAGCCACATGTCGGGACTTTAAACTAACAGTCTAGGCTGACATTCCGATGCAATGTTGAGAGAGAGTTGCATTGTCAGAGGTACTTTAATTCAGATGAGAAATTAAGCCACGATTTTGTCTGCCTGTTCAAATGAATGTTAAAAATCCCATAGCGCTATTAGAAAACTTAAGGGAGTTAGTCCTAATGTCCTGGTCAACAATTTCCCAGATAAAAATGGTTATTCATCTCATGCCTGTTTACAAATAGTCGCTTCACTTTATAGAAACATGGTGAAGCTCTGAGATGCCATCAATTATATTGCATGCAAGGATACCTTTGATAATCAAACAGTAGGAAAAATATTTTCTGGATATGAAGAAGCATTTCACTCAAGAGGGAACATGGAATAATCTCCCAGATGAGATTGTTTTTGTGCAATAGCTTCAATTAATTCATGAAAAAAACCTGTAGATTTCCTTTAATTCTGAAATGCTGTACACTGTCCAGTGCCTTGGGACATCCTCCCGATGTGAAAGGTGCTATACAAAAGTAATCTTGTTGTTCAGGAAGATGCGATTAGCAGCTTACTTCCTAATCTCCCTCTCTTGCCGCCTACAAGTCCTACCTAAAGACCTTCCTCTTTGATCATGCCTTCGGCCACCTCCCACCCCCTTGTCCTCCTACCCTTCTGACCCCAACTCCCAGCTCAGGTCCAAAACCACTGATTGTCCAATGCCCTGGGACGTCTTTCCGACGTGAAGGGCGCTATACAAGTATAACTTGTTTTTGTTGTACTTCCCCTGATTAGATTTCCCCTGACACGATTCACAGTCATTCAGCGACACGAGGAAGCAAAGATTAATTTAAAATAAAAAGCGTAGGCTTGGCTTTGGCACAAAACAATTCTGTGGGTTGATAAGTGGCTGGTTCATGTTAAGTTATTTCCTTGAGCTGATTGTTACAATGAGCTGAAAACTGACCTCATGTCTGGAGTATTGGTGCTCTTGGATTAATAGTCCAAGGGATATGTACAAGTGTTATGGAATAGGCCTGGACCAATTCCTTCTCCAACCACTCTGACGAGATGACGTGTGTTTGGGTAAGGATGCCAGCTGCTTTCCAAGTGGGCATTCTTCTTATTATTTCTTCATATTATTTATCTTCAGAAAACCCCTTCAAGGACAAAAAGCCTTGCATCAAATTGTAGTTGGGAACTCGCATGTCTTCCTCACTGTTTCCCATGGACTGAAACCTGTTTAAGAACTTTTAAAGCATTCCAGAGGCATAGAATTACACCCAGCTTTAGCCCGTGGAACCATGGTGTTGAACATAGACGAGTGGAACATTTTTTGATTTGCTCTTGGTTTGGAAGCCACTTTTCCACAGCTCGTATAAAAATGGCTTCAGAATTTTGAATTTTCCACAATTCTGTGTGATCATAAATAATCATTATTAATTAATAATAATTTAGACACTCAATCCATGACGGGTTTGGGACACTGCTGTGTGCAATTGGCTGCCGCGTTTTGCCAGCAAAGTACACAGTCGATCCATTTTACAGTATTGTGAAGCGCTTTGAGACGTCTCAAAGACATGATGAGGCACTATATAAAATGCATGTATTATTATTAATTTTTATTGATGAACCTAGGCATCAGATTCCCAAATTACAGACTGAAGAGACATTTTCTTCAGACCATAGATGTAAATGTTTTAGTAGAAGCTTGTTTATAAATGCATGGATAAATAGTGTGTACTTCATTAATAGGCTTGTGGCACAGCATTCAGTGTACTAATCCTGGAAGCTTCGATACAGTGTTGTTAGAAATGTTTTGTAACAAAACAAAAAAATTTGTGGGTGGGTTAGGTTACTCTTAGGAAAAAGAGCTTCTTTGAGTATTTTATCTTGTTGAATGAGCTCAGTGTTTCCTCAGTTGTAACTTCCACTGTTACAGTCAAGGACAGATAATTTATTTCTGAAGATTTTTTTCAGCCAGAGAAAAATGGACTACCTCAGATGTAGGGCTCTAACTCCTTCCGCATATTAGCTACTACTCTCCAAACCCGATTTTATTATTCAATTTTTATTCCTTATTTTCTCTCCTGAGTCTTTGAATTAACCCTTTAATTTGAATGTACCAAATTTAGTGATTGGTTTTAATCAGTATATTCCGAGCTTCATCATACTTGTTTTTGGCATTAGTTGAAATAATAATTTCATGGTACTTTTAAATATTGTGAGTTAACATTTTTGTGTTGTAAGAAAATGTTACATGCATAAGAATCTAAGATTGGAATATCTAAAATATTCTGTGATTATTCTCAGTTTAGTAGTGAATCAGATTTTAGCAGAAAGTTGGTCCAGGTCTGCAGTTGAGATGGAGGACTAAGGTAATAATAATCCTTGCTTTTGATATAAAAGGTAGTAGATGTACATTGAAGCCCTACTTGGATATCATCTGGTGGAAGTGGTTTCAAGAGGCGGTTGGTGCTTTTGCTCTCCTGTCGTTAACATTTTGCACTACACTGTGCTTTTTACTTTATGGTGATAACGCCTGTTTTTGGTCATGTCTGCTGTTTTCGTTTCCTGCCCTGATTCAGCAGCGATGTCGGATGTCAAGTACATCAAAAGTTGGGTTTCATGTTCCTCTACACCAAGGGGAGGGAGAGAATTCACTCTCTGCTATATAAATACAAGTTTGGTGGTGATAAGAGAATAGATTAGTAATAAAGTCTCTGCTTACGTAGTATGGCCAATCTTATTGTGGGCATTTTGGAGTCCTGTAGCTCAGTGGTTAGAGCACTCGCTTTGCAAGTGAGAGACCGGAGTTCAATTCCAGGCAGAGGGCGAAACCTTGGGCAAGTTTCCTTACTCCACACACCTAATAATAATCCCTCCAAAAACATTTCAGGACATGTTGGCATTCTTTTTGTACAACAGCATGAAAAATTCATCCGGTACTTTAAATGGAATAGGAATATTAACATGCCCACATTACCACTTCCCCCATGTTGCTACTCCCAAAACAAATTAATGTGTTCTGACTCCATGCCAAAAATGACCTTTTGTGAGCTGCCTGGAATAATCCTGTTTTAAAGAAAACTGAGGACATTGATTATACTTTGTTTGAGCCACATTTTGTTTTTGTAAAATAATGTTTCTGCAAATTGATCCAGAGGACTAAATATTATAAATTTGCAGGCCTTCCCATTTACATTCTCAAAAATAAATGCAGAATAAAATGCAATTGCCACGTCTGTCTGTAGATATGTTTTAAAAGTGAAGAACCAAACTGAAGTGTGTGGTTTCTGATTCTGACTGCATAGGCCAGTATTCATTCATTCATGCCTGAATTGGAAACTTCTCTAACGATTAGATTAACTAACAAAGATCAGTATAGGAAAATTTTGACACAAATAATTTATAACCAGGTACTTCATTTTCCACATAATTCAGTTTATTATGAAACAGTTAGGATACAAATGTTTACTTGTCTGGCAATGTAGAGCCACCTCAAACTCTAGCTATTTTACTTCTGATAATTGTATGGTTGAAATCTTTGTGAAGGCTTTTCACAATTCAATTATCTACAACAACATTCATAGATTTGTGGAGTCCTGTACGTCAGTGGTTAGAGCACTTGCACTTGCCTGTACTTGCCTTGGTTCAATTCCCAGCAGGGCGAAACCTTGGGCAAGTTTCCTTATTCTACATGCCTGAAGCCTTTCATGGCCTCGCTCCACCCTACCTCTGTGATCTCCTAACCAACCCGCCCGCTCCCTCCACTCAGCCGGCTCCGGCCTGCTCCACGTCCCCCCCCCCGCACCACTATTGGTGGGAGAGCCTTCAGCCACTCTGCCCCCAACCTCTGGAATTCCATCCCCCAATCACTCCGCCTTGCCCGCTCCTTAGCCTCCTTCAAGTCCAGCCTCAAATCCCTCAAGAAAAAGCAAAGAAAACTAATAATTGTGGTCACTCAATCTACGACTGTTTGTGGGACACTGTTGTGTGCAATTAGCTGCTGAGTTTCACTCACAAATATACAGTCAATTCACTTTACAGTATATTCTGTGAAGCACTTTGAGACGTCTCAAAGACGTGAAAAGCGCTACATCAAATGCAAGATTATTATTAGATTCAATGATTTCTGCTTGTTGACACTGGTAGCGTGTGTTTCGCTTTCTGCTGTGGCGAGGCCTATGACCATAGCCTCTATAGAACATAAACAACCCAATTTAGAAAAGTTGCAGAAGGAAAATGTACTGGCGAATCTTAAATTATTTTGTTTCTCCTAAGAAATTTTTAAACCATAGCTCCTTTTTAATAAAATGTTTCTTTCTGTTTTGTGTGTGAACATAGTTTACAAATTGCAAAATTTTACTGAAAGCTGTTATAAATAGCATGAGCAACTGTAGGCAAATTACTCCACATTTGTTTAAAGCTTTTATTCAGCTGAACCTATGGTTGACGTGAGAAATGTATGTAAATGTTTATTCAAGGGAGCTACTGTCTTGTTTAATGATGTAGATTGTTCAAGGATTCATAAAAGCCCAGGAATTGACCATAGAATTTAATTGAATAATTACATCTCTTAAAATTCACAAAATATAATGGCCAAGATCAGTTGTGTCTTGACGCAAAGTGATTCACAATTTGTGTAGGTGATAGCTGAAGCCAAGAGGATAGTGTTTTTAAGGAAAAAAAGCAAAATTATTTTTAAGCACCTATCTCAAAATATAACTAAACCTTCAGCTAAACTCTGAGCTGGTAGTTGATTAAGGATCTTGTCACAGGTAGATGTTTTTGCTCCAGGCATTCTGTAAAAATTGAGCTAACTCAGAATGGAATTTTACTGTATTCTGTCACGTGCAGCCATCGAGTGAATGGTGATTCAAACCCGATTAGTAATATGCCTGAGACTCTCCCTGACGATGACCTCATCACACTCTATATAAAACAACCTCAATAATCAAAAGTTTCACTTTGTCTTACAGAATCAAAGGTGAACATTGACTTGTGTAGCTCGTATAAAAACTCCTGAGGATCACCTAGGTTTTACATATTTTTGAAGAAATTTGAAGATGTCCAACAGCCACATCAGGTACATTTTCAGCTTGTATCAAAGGTTTATCCCAGGTTAATTTCAGGCTAAAATATATGAATTAAGAACTGTACTGTTATACTCAAAGATGGAAAGTGCTTTCTATTTTTTTCCTCCTTGAAGGCTGCTTGGATTAGTAACTTGCGTGGGGTCAGCTTCCTGTAACCTTGCTCCTTTGTTGCTGAAGGTGGTTGTTTGCCTTGTAACAGCTGAATTTAAGTAAGACTTTGCCTTCAGTAAGACTTTGATCTCCCTGCTGTGGAATTTGTTGAATGGAAATCGAGTTTGTGGGAAAGTTTCAACATTACTCTGTTCAGTGTTGCTCTGAAGCCTGGATTAGGCAGCTGATTTTCAGTGCGTACAATCTATTCTATAATTGACAGTATTACTCATTTATTCCACAGCCTTCCAGCCAAGCTCATCAATGGTGGAGTTGCCGGACTGATTGGAGTTACATGTGTGTTTCCCATTGATCTAGCCAAGACGAGGCTTCAGAACCAGAGAAACGGGCAACGCATGTATAGCAGCATGTGGGTGATTCTATTATTGAGCTAACTTGTACATAATTGTTGACCCAGATTCTTTCAAACCTATTCCACTTCCTACGTATATATTTTCAACAGACTTTTATTTATCCCTGTATTTTAGGATGGACTGTTTGATTAAGACTGTGCGCTCCGAAGGCTATTTTGGAATGTATCGAGGTAAGAATTGAGGTTCCCCTCTGCTCTCTAGCATTTGTGCTAGTCTGCAGTATGTACATAAAACCGGTCTGTAAATGCCTAATTTTGTTTGTCTTGTTTATGGTTGCTACTACAGTGTCACTAATCTAGCTTCCCTCAATCTAATTAGATTTATGCAATTAGGTTTTAGTTTTGAATGTGGTATTCCAGAATTCCACATATTCAAAAGTTTATGGAAAATCCTGAATTAGATGCTATTAAACAACTAAATACGAAACTAAGAACCAAATTGAAATGTTTTGAGTATTTGAGAGGATTATACATTGCCAAGTTTAAGTCATTTGCAACATACCGAGCAAGCATTGTAATTTCAGTCTTGATTTGGTTATAGTTTTACCTACTTCTTGGAACCCAAATTTCAAAATGAAAAATATATTGGATCTTTAACAAAACACCAGAAAATTGTAAAAGGCAGTTTAATGTGGTATAGCAGCATCAGCCATCACCATCCGTTGCTGTTTTGGGCAGGTAGTGAGCTTCAGCCTGGAGGTCTGGTAGATTTGTATAGTAAGAGACGTGTTCTCATGAAATGAGTGTTCCTGGTCATGGATATAATTATGTTCTTGTATCTTTTGTTTAACTTAAATGCGTTGTATTGTTCTCAGTCATATTGCCACCAATTTAGCTTAAGCAGGTTACTTTCATTGGTATGTGAGGAGCGGTAGCATTTGTATAGTGCCTTTCATTTTGAGACAACACCACCAGCAGCAGCAACTAATTGCACTTGTATAGTAATTCTCATATCGGAAGAACATCCCAGGATGCTTGATAGTCACAGTACTTCAGTTTGCTTTAGCTTCATATACTGTTAGCAGGAACTAGGATATTGTGATATTGGCTTCAGTAATATCCAATGGCATTAGAGAAGTAGCCATTGGTGTCTGAAAAGTGGTACGAAAACAGTGACATAGAATTAAATTTACCTTGAATTCATTGGTACAGAATAAAACTGATATCAACTTAAACTGCAAGTGTGAGAGAAGGGAGTTCCATTTCCCAAGTGGCTGGACTGTCTAGGGTTTGCACCTGAGCTGGGGGCAGGTGGGGGAAAACATAGCCAAAATTGCAGTCAAAGAGAAAGGTCCTTGAAGAAGGGAAGGGGTGGGTATAGAGATTCATTGGGTGTATGGTGTCTGCTGCTTTTATTAGCTCACTGGATTTTGTGCTTATCTGGCACTTGAAACTACACTTCATCTTAATTCTGAAGTTATATTTTTATTTCTTGAACGGTCTAATAATTTATGATTAACCTATTCAAATAATAGAATGGTGCAAACCTAATGGGGATTAGTCCAACATGTAGATAGATTGTCCGATTGTAAATGAAGGGCCAGCTATTTTATTAACTTCTTCTGTGAAAGTCTGCACCTGCCTCGATGCATATTGCTGAAATTCAGCAATTTGACTGTAGATCAATAGCACGAGCAACCATGGCCAGGAATATGAAGTCTCTAGAAGGCACGTCTGTTTTGTTGAGTTTAGGAGTTAGAAAATTATATCCTGTCGATGTTAAATTTAATGCAAACGGAATGGAGACAATTTTGCAGATATTAATACCAAGTGTCCACTGCAAAAACTCTTGGAGGAAATGCTGTTGTTTGCATCTGTGTTTTTCATGTTACAGACGGTCGCCTTGGATATTGAGGGCTAGCCGATCTGGCGAAGCCACGATGGAGCAAATCATTAAATGGTTCTTACAGTACTACTTATTATTGTAATTAGGATCAATTTCATTTATCTATTTTGTCGGTATTGCTTTTTTTAAAAAAAATAAGGATTCTCTCTCTACTTGCTTTTCTCATTGCTAAGAACTGTATTTTTCTCTATTTGGTGTTCTTTCATTCATCATAACCTCTGTACTGACTGAAGGTACCTTTCTGATGTTCTCAGTCTGCGAAGACTCCTTGAAATCTTTGACAATCTTAAATCCACTCTTGAGTTTGGCAGGTGGTTTTAGATTTGGAGTGGAATGTTTGGGGTTTATCCAAATCATAACTTGAGAATTTGCTGTGTTAATTGTCATTTTAGAGATTTGCAAGTCAGTCTATTTGTAAATTTTATATCTGTTAATTGTAGATTCATAATTCACTTGAAATACCTGATATATCACAGTTTGCACTTATATGATGCCTTAAGCACTTCACACAGCTTACTGGGGCGGTGGGCGGAAGGGGGGGTGAGGGGGCAAGGAAACCAAAAGAGCAATTGAAAAGATCTTTAAAGGCTGGATTTAAAGGTACGGATAGAAGGACAAGGCAGGGGGACCAGAGATCAAAGGCAGAATGGCTGAAAGCTCATCGTCGATGATGAGGTGAATCGGGTGGAAGTTATACAATGGACTGGTGAACAGAGGGAGAGGCAGAGGTGGTAGAGCTGTAGGAGATGGCTGAGGCAGTGGAGTGATTTGAAAGTGAAGACCGGGACCTTGAATTCAGTCTGCTTGGGGATGGGAGCCAGTGGAGCCGAGTGAGAAAGCCAGGGATGGTTTGCGGCTCCTTGCATGGGAGAGGGTATGTTCTGGATAGTCTGCAATTTGTGTAGGGAGAAGTTGGGGATTATAGCAATTAGAATGATCAAGCCTGGACATATTGAAGGTGTGGTTATAAACCTTTATTAAAAAAGCACTGCAACTTTTTAGTCTAAAATAAAGGTTATGTGTAAAGGCCAAACTTCTTTATTCTGAGTGCTATGCAGGTATCTTCAAATTGATAAGAATGTTTGATTATGCTTCTTGGATTAGTTTCTCAGGGGTTACTTTAGTTTGTGTTCAGTTTCATCAGAACGATCTTAACACTGAAGCCTTGTTTTTCATTGGAAAGCCATAAAAAAAAGCTAAGTGGGTTGAACTTTCCAAGTCTAAATTTCATGGAGTCATCGTTTATTTCAGTAGTGGTGTTCCCTTTCTTTAGTGCTGTCAACTTGCTTAGCTCTTAACATTCTGCTTAATGGATGCAATTCTCAAAATGGTGCACATTTTAAATCTGCATGTAGTATTGTTTATAATACATTCCATTACCTCTCACAACCCTTTTCTGCCCTCTGTTCTCCTGTTGTAGAATTTCCTCCGTCTTATAAATTTTCATTCTTAATTTGTGGTAAATATTTTATTTTAAATCTATCCTTTTTTTAACCTGGTTTAGCTTAACGATTGGTCTTTTGCAAAAAAAAAACCCCTGAAATTCATCACTTTTGAAGGAGCTGTGCTTTGAGTTACAAGTCTGTTTAATTTGATGTTGCCCAGATGTCCAGTCTGATCATCCAGAGTTCCTCAATAATTCCAGGCATTCTCTAGAAATCGTGGGAATATCCACATTAAATATCCCGATTTGCCCTATAATCTTCCTCTCTATCCACTGAAAATACACATTTTCAGCTGAAGGGGATGTTTGTTCTACAGATGTTAGACCTATTTGAATTAACAGAGGCTGTTTTTTTAATAGCTGAGCCCAGTACTCGCCATCTTACAAGGAAGACTTAAATTCGTGATTAGGAGCAGAAACTCGGCTTTTTCTTTCCCCGGATAAAGGGTTTCCGGAAAACTAGTCTTCCCTACTGCTATCCTGACCCAAATCCAGCTATTTCAGCACAGCTTGATTAACTTTGCCTGAGTGCTACATTGACTGAGCTGTTAGGTGAGAAGCAAAGTACATTTGATTTGACTGTTAATTTATTTTGCAACCAGTACAGGAATATTTTATTTTTCTCTAAATCTTGTGTGCGCACTTCACATTTTATTGAAGATAAATTTGCCCCAAAATTACCTTTCAATGAGTCTTGTTAGAGACAAGTTCTTTTGTTGTGATTTTGTCCAAACTAAAGTGGGTCAACACTTTGCCATGTATTTTTTTTGCACCTAGAAGAATATCTGTTATAAGAGTTGTGATTTGTGACATTGTGAGTTATTCTCCCTAATGTAGGGCTGTGAAGTTCCCGCAAATTCTTGCAGTGATAATAAAGCTGCAAAAGGTCAATCTAGTATGCTGAGACCAGGAAAAAAGGATCTTTAAAAATATGTATAGTACTGTTTTATTGTCAAAACCTTTAATATTTTGCATAGCTATAGAATCTGATGAGCAGCAATATCATGAGGTTCGTTTTTCTCCTGTAGGTGCGGCTGTGAACCTGACATTGGTAACCCCTGAGAAAGCAATTAAACTCGCTGCAAATGACTTTTTTCGGCAATGGTTGTCTAAAGATGGGTACGTGTGTGTGTGTGTGTATATAGTACTGTTTTATATAGTTCCTGCTTGGGTCCAAATCCCTGACTGACCAACACCTTGGGCATCCTCCCAACGCTTCTCATTGTGTGCTCTGTTTTAAGGGTTTTTTCTTAAAGAAATTGCTTTTCCACCATGTCATATCAATATAATTGCTTACGGTGGAGCTTCATTTTCTTTTTATGCTTAAAGGTATCATGTTGGCCCATTTAGTAGCACTCTCGCCTCTTAAACCGGAAGGTTGTTGGATCAAGCCTGATGTCAGGACTTTGAAATTAGTCGGGGCTGATTCATGAACAATAAATGACGTGATAAGGTGCTATATAAAATACACCGGTTATTACAATATACTTGTATTGCATTTATAATGTCATATACCATACATTTTGTAGAGTATAACCAGGGGTGGGCAAAATACGGCACCCAGACCATATCTGGTCTGCCAAATGATTCTATCCGGCCCGTCATTGTATCTAGCAATAAAAAATTATGGTTTGTTCAGTACCAGAAAGTCACACTGCTTAGTTGTGTGCACACTCCCTTAATTGTTGAATCAGACTGCTGTCAGAAATGTATGGATCAGCAAATTTTCAAATGCGCGCACGACAACCGCAGCAATACTTTTCACTGAAAAGGACAAATGAGTTCATCAAAGAAGCGGAACATGGACGCTGAAGGCCGAATATTCAACAAAAAATGGACTTCTAAATATTTTTTTTACCAGTGTGAGTGGAAAAGCTGTGTGCTTAATTTGCAAAGAAAGTGTGGCAGTGCTCAAAGACTGCAACTTGAATCGTCATTTTGAGAGCAAACATGCTTGCAAATATAAGATAGTTTCTGCTGAAGAGAAAGGAAAAAAATGCTGATGAGATGGTTGTTCGAATGCAAAAAGAGCAAAGTGCGGTATTTAGGGGAGCACAAGATAATTAGGCCAAGTCAACATGGCTTTACAAAAGGGAAGTCATGTTTGACAAATCTCAAAGTTTTTTGAGGATATTTCCAGTAAACTAGATAAGGGTGAATCAGTGGATGTGGTCTATTTGGACTTCCAGAAGGCATTTGATAAGGTGCCACATAAAAGGTTAGTCCAAAAGATAGCCCATGGAATTGTGGGGAGCATATTAATGTGGATTGGGGAATGGTTAACGGATAGAAACAAAGAGTAGGGATAAATGGGTCCTTTTCAGATTGGCGGGATGTGAGTAGTGGAGTGCCACAAGGTTCAGTCCTTGGGGCTCAGCTATTTACCATCTACATCAACGATCTGGATGAGGACATTGAAGTTAATATATCCTAATTCACAGGTGACACAAAACTAGGAGGAAGTGTCAACCCAGAGGACGACATTAAAAAAAATGCAGCAAGACATAGATAGGTTAGGTGATTGGGCAGGTAAGTGGCAGATGAAGTATAATGTAGGGAAGTGCGAAGTCATCCACCTAAGTAGCAAAAACAGTAGAGCGGGTTATTTTTTTAGAAGGGGAGAGATTGGAATGTGTTAGCGTCCAGAGGGACTTGGGTGTCCTTGTACACCAATCACAGAAAGTTAGTCTGCAGGTGCAGCAGCAATTAGGAAGGCAGGTAGCTTTACTAGGTTAGTACCAGGGATGAAGGGGTTGAGTTATGAGGATAGGCTGACCAATTTGGGCTTATGTTCTCTAGAATGTAGAAGAATTAGAGGAGATCTTATAGAAACCGATAAGATTATCAAAGGGCACGATAGAGTAGATAGTGGGATTGTAGATTGTTTCCCCTGGTTGGAGAAACTAAAACCAGGGGTCACAGCCTTAAAATCAGAGGCCAGCCCTTTCGCACTGAACAGCACACCGTTCTCTGAGGAAGAACTTCTTCACTCAAAGGGTGGTGAATGTATGGAACTCACTACCCCAAAGGGCTGTTGACGCTCAGTCCTTGAACATATTCAAGACTGAGATAGATAGATTTCTTATTGCAAAAGGGATTAAAGGATATGGGGATAAGGCAGGGTCAGGTTATTAGCTGGATCAGCCATGATTGAATGGCGAGGCAGGCTCAAAGGGCTGGATGGCCTGCTCCTGCATGTTATGTTAAAGCATTTTCACAAAACAATTTGGTTCCCAGAATGAGTGAGTTATGTGATTGCACACAAAATCGCCAAGAACAGCACACCATTCTCTGAAGGAGAATTTATAAAGGAATGTATGGTTGACTCTGCCTCGATTTTATGCCCAGACAAGAAAAAATAGTTTAAGAACATTAGCTTGTCAAGGTGAATTATGTGTTGAGACGTGTCGAGGATGTCTCTGAGAACCTGTATCTGCAGTTAAAAAATAAAGTAAGCAATTTTGCATGTTTTTCACTGACATTCGAGAGAGAGATGTCAAAGACACAGCCCAGTTGATAATTTTTATTCGAGGTATCACCAAACATTTTGAGCTCACAGAAGAATTGGCATCAATACAGTCGGTGAAAGATACGACGACTGGAGAAGACTTTTTGAAGGCAGTAAATAAGTGTATCTTAAAATTAGGAGTGGAGTGGAAAAAATTGGTGAATGTGACCACCGATGGAAGCCCAAACCTGACGGGCAAAAGTGTTGGGTTACTGAAAAGAATTCAAGATTAAGTCAAAGAAACAAATCCAGAACAGAATATTGTTTTTCTACATTGCATTATCCACCAAGAGGTCCTCTGTAAGAGTGTTCTAAAACTAAGCAATGTCACAGTTATGAAAGTGATCCAACTACATTCGAGCAAGAGGATTAAACCACAAGCAATTTGTCACTCTGCTTGAGGAATTGGAATCTGAGCACACGGATGTAAGATGGCTTAGTTTAGGAAGGGTCTTGAAAAGAGTGTGGGAACTGAGAGCAGAGATCGATTTATTTTTGGACATGAAACAAAAAGATTCGGATTTCCCACAGCTGAATGGTTTGAATTGGCTCTGATTTCGCATTTGCCGTTGATATCATGGGCCACATGAACAAACTGAATTCAAAACTGCAACGGAAGGGGGCCTTTGTGCACGATTTGTATTGCAGTGTCAAGTCATTTATGACAATTATTTATTTTATCGCGTCAGATAGGAAACGGGCAGTTCGCCCACTTTCCAACTTTGCAGCAGATTACTGTTTGCGATCAAAGCCTTAAAAAGTATACTTCGTCACTACTTGACTTACATACTTTGAATTTTCTCGCTGATTCCAGGATTTCAATTTGATCGAAAATGACCTGTCTTTGGTCTCTTCGCCTTTCTCATTTGATGTTGACAAAGCCTCATTTGACCTCCAACTCGAGCTTATTGACCTGCAATGTGATCCATTGCTTTCGGAGCAATTCAAATCAGTGCCGGTTCCCAGTTTTTACGCCTCTCTTAATGAATATACCTTTCCAAAAATAAAGGCATTTGCCTCTATATTAAATGTGGTCTGCGAAGCTTACCAAAACTCATGAAGTGGCCTGCCAGTCAAAATAATTGCCCACCCCTGGTATAAGCACCGGCACTAGCTGTGCCAAATGGCTTGTTATGGTGCTATACCGTATGTAATTCTATATTCTCATGTATGTGTAATACAAAATGGCTACCATGTCTTTGCAAAATGGCTGCTACATGAGGTCAAATGGATCAGGGTTTTAATCAAGTAGACAATCTTTTTAAGACTTTGGGCAAAGCCCAACACCCTTATTTCTGTTCCATGATCATGTATAATGTCCTTTCTCTGTTTCAGGAAGGGCTTGAACGTGTTTAAAGAGATGATGGCTGGCTGCGGTGCAGGCATGTGCCAGGTTGTTGTCACTACTCCCATGGAGATGCTGAAAATTCAGCTCCAAGATGCTGGTAGACTAGGTAACTGATTCTTTTTAATCAATACTTCTGCTATAATAATAAATTAACCACTTGATGTGAGAGTACAAATGAATGCTGAGCATTTTCAGACGGATTAAATGAATATACTTTTATAACAAAATAAGTATTTGCTGAGAATGCTGATTGTTTTATTCTTTTTTGCTGCAGCTCAGCAAAGGGTGGTGCTGCCTCCAAGCACTTGCACTAAGCTTGTTGCCACCAATCCAGTTTTGAGCCGGGCTTACAATGCTGGACCTGCTGCTCTCACCACTCACGTGTCTGCTACTCAAATTGCCAAGGATTTATTTTACACCCAGGGACTTCGAGGCCTGTATAAGGGATTAGGAGCCACTATTCTAAGGTAAATAAGGGTTCACTTGAGCATTTATGTCTAAATTTTGGTAAGCGGGGTGTCAGCCTGATCACACTCTCACCTCGAGTCAGAAGGTTGTAAGTTCAAGCCCCACGGCAGGACTTGGAACTTTTATAGTATGGACCATGTTGACACTAATTCAATGCTTGGGTGTGCTGCATTGTCAGAGGTGCCATCAGTTAATTGAGAATGTCTGCTTGTTCAGATGTAAAATAAAGTTTCCATGGCACTATTTGAAAACAGAAGGGAGTTTCTCCTGGTGTCCTGGCCAACAATCGCCCAGATAAATTTATTTATTAATTTTGTGACTGTTTGTGAGACATTGTTACGCTTAAATTAGTTTTGTTTGCTTATAAATTACGGTCACTACACATTACAGTATCCTTGGAAGTCATTTGAGGCCTCCTGATGTGAAAGGCATGATATCAAATTCAAGGATCATTATTATTATAACTTGTGATCTTTTAATTTTCAAAAATAAACATCTTAATCTATAAGGTGTTCCTTTTATTCACAGGGATGTTCCGTTTTCCATTATTTATTTCCCATTATTCGCTAATTTGAACAAACTTGGACAAAAATCTCCTGATGAGAAGGCTTCATTCTACCATTCATTTTTATCTGGGTGCCTAGCTGGTTCTGTGTCTGCTGTTGCTGTCAATCCTTGTGATGGTAAGTAAAACACAATCTCAAATGACTCGTTGAACATTTTCCACCAGAATTATAAGTACACTGGGCAAATTGGTGAATATTTCACAGGCTGCACAGTGAGATTTCAGAGGGAATATGTAGGGGGTAGGATGTAGGTGCAAAGTGCATCCTCCTAGCTGTTACTTTCTTTGGAATGGGGTAAAGAGGGAAGTGCTGTAGCAGGGATTGTAAAGTGTACTTTACAGAAAAACAGCCTTGGTCTTAAGCAAACATGTTTCAGTAATAGTTAATTCACTTAAAGATTTTCACTCAGCATTTACAATATTAGTAAGTAACATTTTTTGTGTGTTGACTGGTAGATCATTAAATGACTGTCCTAATGGGTTAAACATTCCTTCTGGCGTGTAAATAAATTGCTGTTATGATGTTAGATAAAGTTCCTTGATAGTGAAAACTACCATTTTAATAGGCTGTAAAGCAGCATTTGGCAAGATACCGTAAGTGCCTTGCTTATTACACTACACAAATGACTTGTTTCCTGAATAACATTAATATTCACGGAAACTTACCTGATAAGATTTGGAGCGGAAGTTACGCTGCTACTTGTGAAACTGTCTTGTTAAATCTAAATGCTGACATTGCATATGAGTTTACTTGTGGTTTTATGTTACAGTGATCAAGACAAGGTTCCAATCACTACATAGAGGTGCAAATGAAGAAACCTATAGTGGAATTGTGGATTGTGCAAGGTGAGAAAGGAACAAGCCAGATGGAGGAATGGGTTGTAATCACATCAGAGAATAAAAAGTTTAACTGAGAATTAGACTATTGGGGGGGAATCAGGTGTCTATGTAATATTTGCTGTCCAAAAACATCTAGTGGGGCTGGAGAGTAGCAATAGGTGTTCTTGGAGAATAGTGGTGATGTACGGTGCTAACCAAAGAAAGAGACTGCTCAGTACTAGGTGGAACCTGCAGACTGATTCAGAACAGGTTTCTTTGGAGGCATTATTGAGCTGAGGAAGAACTGATTTGGTGACAGTCCAAACTGAAACTGCTATTATCGGTCTTACTGTAAATGGAATTTCCGCTTAATTTGCATGTTAAACTTCAGGAAAAAAGGCCCCTTTCATCTATCTCCTGTTTAAAGGCATTAAAATCTCAACCCAAATCTGTTCTGCTTTAGATAGTCAGTGATCTAAATGCATTGATTCACTTGTCCATAAAGACATTAGTTTTAAGATAAGGCAGACTTTTAGTTTTGAGGTAATTAGGCATTTGCTCTCTTGCTTCAAGTGATTTGTTGGGCAAGTTTCCTTACTCCACAAACCTCTGTTTGCCTAGCAGTATGTAGGAACCTGGTTGTTAAGTCAATTAGCGGATTGCTTTTCCAGTGGTAATAATCCCTTCATTCATAAATAAATAATAATTTGATCACTCAATCCATGAATTTTGTGGGACACTGCTGTGTGCAATTGACTGCTGTGTTTTGCCCACAAAACATAGTCAAATCACTTTACAGTATATTCTGTGAATTGCTCTGAGATGTCTTGAAAACGTGATAAGATGCTATATCAAATGCAAGGATTATTATTGTTATTGGTTGGCTTTGAGTTTAACGCCTGCTCTTTCTGTGTAGGAAAATCTGGAAGAATGAGGGTCCTTCTGCGTTCCTGAAGGGCTCTGTCTGTCGAGCCTTGGTCATCGCACCTCTCTTTGGCATTGCACAAGTCATTTACTTTGTGGGAGTCGGAGAGTTTGTTTTAGGTTTTTCACTGTTCGAAAAGTATTAATGGCAAAGCGTCCATCCATTCCTGAGGCAGGCTTTGTGCCCACTGTGAGAAAATCAAAACTGTATGAAGAAAACTTCTGGAAAAGGAACAAAGCTGAGCTGCAGCTGTGGAGGAAAAGGTCAACTTGTGTCTGTGTTGCCTTTGACATTTCTAGACTGACTACTGTGTGATGGGGAGGAAAATGATTGGTTGGGCACCTCCTTTTTGTTTTAGAGAGGTAGATATCTTTGAGATGGTTGTGGAATGCTTGTCTTGAAATGTAAGTGAGATGATTGCTTAAGCTGAAGGGGCCAAACTGATATTTTCTTCTGCAGCTATATTGTGATGTTTATGTATACTTGTGAACCTGTGAAGAATTGCGAGAGAAGTTACAAAGATTTCACTTTTTTTTATTTGTCAAACGTCTGTCAATGGTTCTGAGCCAATCAATATGTTTACAGTAATGCAGTTTGGAAACACTGGAAGGGATGTCAGAACTAATATCACTCCAAGCAAGTGAGAGGCTTCAGTTCAGAAAAGCAATCCCTTGTTGTATTTGCACATTAAATAAATAATGGGAATTAAATTCAAGAGCACTTATTCTTGTAAGCTTTGTGGACTGGAGGAATCTCCCAATTCTGACCCGTTCTATCACTTTTCAAACCTTGACAGGCTCCCTATTGAAGAATGGATCAATTTCAAGATCCTCACACTCGTACAAATCACTTCATGCCCTGGCATCACCCTACCTCTCCGACTTGCTTACACACCACTCTTCTATTTGATCCCTTCACTCAGCTGGCTCCAGCCTCGTGCACATCCCTGTCCTATCCACTCCACGATCAGTGCTCTTAGCCTTGACTCTGGAACTCTGCTTCAATTCCTCTGCTTTGCCCCCTCCTCGTCCGTCTTCAGATCACACCTGAAGATCTTCCTCTTTTACTGTGTCTATGGTCACCTCCCACCTCTCCCTGGCTCGGTGTCAAGCTCTACCACTGTTAGGCTCTCTGACATGTTACCCTGTTTGAAGAGCACTATATAAATGCATGTTGTTTGTCAATCCTTGTGTTAAAATAACTGAATATTCACCACTACAACTTGTGAAAAGTATAGCATACATGGAACTTATACATTCCAAAGATCTAACTTAATTGATTTGGAGCAAGCCTTGACTCGCTCAGGCATATTGCTGTGTGTAGTTCTAAAACACTTACGTAAAGGCACCACTTTGATCTGTAGCCTTCTGAAATACTGTAAAGGGCACAGGAATTTTAAGCATCTGTGGGTCACAGACACTAATCATTGTGTTTTGTTTCTCCCTCTGCCTTCCCCACCCAACCCCCACCCTCTTCCATTCTGGAGCATTAAATTCTTATATTGTGGCACAGTCCAACACGGTGCTTGTTTTCCCAGCGGCTACCAGGTGAAACAATTAACTGATTAAAATCTCCTGAGTCGAAAGTTTGTTGATGTGACATCTGCTTTGGTTGTTTGAAACCAGCCACTGTGATTGCATTCCATTATAAACTATCTGAGCAGTCCTGCATGTTTTTTATGCAACCATAAGTAAGCTCAAAACTTGCTGAACTCACTTAGGATCCTTAATGATAAGGTTAAGGTTATTCCTTGAGTTTGAGGAAATACTACTATCTGTCCTACTTGAATTAAGTGTGCATTGAGGAGCAGATTGCTATACTTTCTCATCTGGGTTGTGAGAGTTAGAGAAGTGCTGTATTTTGTGGTCGATTCTTAGTGTCCCATGGTGCTTTACTGTAAACATTTGAAACATTATCAAATGATTACCTCTGGTCAATGCTTGTAACTATATGTATAGTGCCTTCTCTGCCTCCTGTAACATTGAATGGTTTACATGAAACAATCCTTTATGCTGTTCACATTTTTCAGTCAGTGATACTACGCAGTATTAGGACCACACACAAAACATTTAATCTAATATAACATGTTTACAGATTTTAATATGACAATAAATCTTGCCTTTCATAACCTTACTTTGTCTGTGTTTGACTCCTGTAAATATGCACCATATTTGGAATGATTCTCAGCTGCTACCAATGGGTTAGATGATTTTATTCATGATTTCATTTCCCTATCTTCTGCACACAGGATAAGCCATGTGATAAAATTGGTGTAGGATCATTCCTTTGGAATCCTTCTCAAACACTCTGATATGCTGCCCAGCGTGAAGGGCACTACAGGAATGCGAGTTGTGCTCTGCCCCACACTAATAATTTTGCTCTGGTTATTCACTACACCATTCATATTTTTTTTAAACTCATCAATTCTTTAACTTTTTAATTATGAAGTGTTTTGCGACAGCCCCCTGGTTTGAAAGATGTTAAATAAATGTAAAGAAAAGTACGAAACGTTGGACAAGTTTCCATCCTCCTGTTTACCTCGCAGTAAATAGGAACCTGATTGTTAGTCGATGGGCGGATTGCTTTTCCAGGGGTAAATAATTCCTTCAAAAAATAATAATTGGTCACTTCAATCCACAACTGTTTATGGGGCATTCTCCCTGTCAGGATGTATTCTGATTATACCTAATTCCGGAGGTAATAATCCCTTTTAATAAAAAAATTCGAGCGCAAATCCTTCACTGTCTAGCGCCTTGGGAGTTCTGTAACGTATTAATTAGAGAGATTGCCTCTCAAGCAAGCGAGAGGACCGGGGTTCGATTCCTGGGCGGGGGCGAAACCCTAGGCAAGTTTCCTTATTCCTCACGCCTCTGGTTATCCGGCAGTTAAGTAAGTAACCCGGTCATTAGTGGATTGGTGGACGGCATTTCCAGGGGGAACACATGCCTTCAAAAAAAAATGAATGAATAAGTAATTTGGTTACTCAATCCATGACTGTTTGTGGGACATTAATATGAGCGATCGGCCGCAGCGTTTCGCCCACACAATGCACAGTCACTACACTTTGCTGCATGTTGTGCGAAACGCTCTTGAGACGCCTCGAAGACGCGGAAAAAATATTATTATTATTATTTTGTTCCCTTCCATTTGGAGACCTTGACCTCTGCACTGGGGGTCGGGGACACACTGAGGAGGAGTGCCCAGGACACTCCTCCCCCCCCCCCCCCCCCACACCCCCCACCACCTGCTACAGGGAGGCTCAGTGCGGGGCGGCCGCTGTCGGTCAGTGCCGCGCGGTGGCGCTGTGGTGGGAGACGGTGGCCTGGGCACCGGAAGTGAGCGCGGGGCCGTCGCCGGGGAGAGTCCGGAGCTCGAGCCCAGGGCCAGGCCGCGGCTGCCAGGTACTCAACCGGGGGTTGGAGCGCGAGGCCCGGGCCTCACACCCAGTCGCACCCCCGGGGCTCAAAGGCGGCGGGTCGTGCACAGGTAAAGCCGGGGCGCGGCTCCAGGCCTCGGAACCCAGACATAGAGGCCACAGACAGACAGGGAGAGGGGGAGAGGGACAGGGAGAGGGAGGGAGACAGAGTCAGAACAGGGAGAGAGGGAGAGGGACACAGTTAGACAGAGAGAGGGAGAGGGACACAGTTAGACAGAGAGAGAGGGAGAGAGACAGAGAGAGAGGAGTCCTGTAGGTCAGTGGTTAGAGCACTCGCTTTGCAAGTGAGAGACCTGAGTTCAATCCCAGGCAGAGGGCGAAACCTTGGGCAAGTTTCCTTACTCCACACAGAGCCTAATAATAATCCCTCCAAAACAAAACAATTATAAATTGGTCATTTTCAATCTACGACTGGTTGTAGGACATTGACAGTGTGTTCTGTGAAGCGCTTTGGGACGTCCTTCCGACGTGAAAAGCGCTATATCAAATGCAAGGATTATTATTATTATAGAGGGAGAGGGACACAGTTAGACAGAGGGAGAGAGACACAGTTAGAGAGAGAGGGAGAGGGACACAGTTAGACAGAGAGCGTGGGAGAGAGAGAGCGGGAGAGAGACACAGAGAGAGAGGGAGAGAGACACAGTTAGACAGAGAGAGGGAGGGAGAGACACAGAGGGAGGGAGAGAGACACAGTTAGACAGAGAGAGGGAGGAGAGAGACACAGAGAGAGAGGGAGAGAGACACAGAGAGAGGGAGGGAGAGAGACACAGTTAGACAGAGAGAGGGAGGAGAGAGACACAGAGAGAGAGGGAGGGAGAGAGACAGAGAGGGAGGGAGACACAGTTAGACAGAGCGAGGGAGGGAGAGAGACACAGAGAGAGAGGGAGGGAGAGAGACACAGTTAGACAGAGAGAGGGAGGGAGAGAGACACAGAGAGAGAGGGAGGGAGAGAGACACAGTTAGACAGAGAGAGAGACACAGTTAGAAAGAGAGGGAGACAGACAGAGAGGGAGAGAGAGAGACACAGTTAGACAGAGAGAGAGGGAGAGAGACACAGTTAGACAGAGAGGGAGAGGGACACAGTTAGACAGAGAGGGAGGGAGGGAAACACAGTTGGAGTGGGTGAAACAGACACCGCAGGATAGACAAACACACACGTTCAGGAAGAGAGATTGGTGCAGTGAGAGAGTGAAGGGCGTAGAGCGAGAAACAGATGCAGAGAGATATCTACTGTGCAATCAGAAACAATTAATTGCACAAATCACGGAAGTTCTTCAACTTGTTTTTCTCTTGTAGCTGGTGTCCTAAACGTTCCCAGTCGTGAGGAAGGTCTGTTCTATGGCTTGATACGCTGCAGCTCAGGGAGTCGCCAGCTTAATTGATACCTTGGAAAGGACAGAAGGTAGGTCAGAAGGGGCAATGGGGAGAAAAGCTGAGAATAACTCTTGAACTAGTGGCTCTGTGGAGGAGGCTGCCTTGGAATTATTGTGACACATTGTCTGATAATGGGACAAATGTTATTCAACAAGGAATTTGCCTACAAAATATACAGTCACCACACTTTATAGTATAGTTTCTTAAGCGGTTGAAGATGGCCTCCCAATGTGAAGAGATGGTAGATCATATGTAAGGATTGTCATCATAAGATAGTCTGAGCATGTTGCTTGCCTATATACATGTGTGTCTTCCAATGCAGTAAAATGCTCTGCTGCGCTGAATGAGAGGCTCTATATAAATGCAAGTTGTTGTTGTTGATGCCTGTCTGTGTGCACACCTGCATGTGGGTATTTTCATGTAAGTCATGAGAGTGGTATCACTGGCTCAGTGGTACCACTCTCCCCTCCGAGTCATGAAGGTTGAGATTTCAAGCCCCACGTTGGCGCTTTGAATTCATACACTCTAGGCTGACTATCCAGTGTAGTGCTGGATGGGGGGTGCTCCATTGTCATCCTTTGGATAGGATGTTAAACTGAGACCTGTCTGGCTGTTCAGATGTACATTAAAAATCGCATGGAACAATTAGTAAATCAAAGGGAGTTTCTCCCAGTGTTCTGGCCAACAATCTCCCAAATAAAATTGGTCTTTCACTCCATGGCTGTTTGTGGGACATTGCTGTGCGATTGGGCTGTCCCATTCACTAGAAAATACAGTCACTACACTTTACAATAAATCCTGTGAAGCATTTAAGAATTCCTTGTGGCATGATGTACAAAATGCAAGGATGATTATTATTGTATATTTGTGTACATGCATGTCTACAGAGATGCATGATTGTGGTATGTTTTTGTATCTAGCGTGTGTGCATGCTCTGTGTGTGGACAGACTGAACTTGCATGGGTTTGTGGAGCATATACCTTACTGCTGGTTTGGTGGAAATGGGTGGGTTTCTGTTGCCCAGTGTAGGTTACTCAAATACAGCAGCTTGCTTGATAACTTTGGCAACCATGATGCTGTTGAAGGATATGGAATGACTCACTGATGAAATGTCTTCCTATTCAGAGAGGCTGTGCTCATAATCCTAATATTAACATTTTGTGTTAGTTCTGCTTTGAAAGTTGATTTGTGCATTGACTGGCTCTGCTCCAAGGAGTTGATGTTGTCTCTGCAGCCCTTCGCAAGGAAAATAAATGTCTTGCCATGTTCGCCTGGAAATACACAGTCGCTACACTTCACAGTAAATTCTGTGAAGCGCTTTCACACTTCCTCTTGGCGTGAAAAGTGCTATACCAAATGCAAGGATGGTGCGTATCAAACACAGAGACTGACAGGTTGGACTGCCAAGGCAGGAGTAGGTCAATGGTCCACCAAGCTATCCATACAACTTCTCAAACGATTCTTTTGATGTATCTGTTTCATCAGCTGATAACCCCTGCATCCTTCTGTCAACCTATTTAGATACCTGCATGCAGACGTGCACATAGACAGGCACCACCAGCAACAACAACTTGCATTTATATAGTGCCCCTCATTCAGCACAGCGTCTCAGAGCATTTTACTGCGTCGGAAGACACATGTAAATAGACAACTTTCAAAGCAGAACTAACACAAAATATGAAAATAGTGGCTAAAGAAAGAGTGGGACACAGTGTATCCTGGCTCCAGCACTGTGTTCTGTGCTAATAACAACAAGCTACATTTGAAATGTACAGTGTAAACCACAAGCCAAGCAGACCTCAAGCTCAGTTCAGTGCATTATTCCTGTTTTACTGTCTAACTCTCCCCACATCAGAGTTGTGTTGCTGTTCCATCTGCCAATCTCGTTTCCCCCTCTCCCAGGTCACCAACGGAAAATAAGATCAATCTGTTTTGATGTTGGGACAGGTGCCTACATGGCTGCAGACATCTCTTTAACATGATTTCAGGGTGTTTTTAATATGTTTATGTCACTAACATCTCCCATGTCGCATGCATCCCATATCCCCAGGTTACTGCTCCTCATGCGTTAAGAAGCTGTATTCCGGGCTGACAATCCAATGCTGTGCTCCGTTGTCAGAGATGTCAGGTGCCTCTGAGACAGTCAGATATTTTACCAAAGTTTATGTTAGAGTCTGACACCGTGGGGAATATTGTGTTTTCCCCAGGAGATTATTAAAGATTCATTACAGAACATCAGCACGTGAATGAGTCTCCAGTTCGGCAAATGAAGCAAAGCTTTGAAATCTAATGTCTCAATTCTGGATTATCGCCTGGGCCAATAGAAAAGTGCGGAAATATTTGCCAAAAACTATGGGGACATTTTTAGGGAATGCGGGGGAGGTTTTGCAGAAAGTTGTAGGGAATTGATTGGTGCTATTGTGGTACATTTTACTACCAACCTACATTTTTTCACTTTATTGATGAAAGCTAAACATAAGCAAATAACGCATTAGATTGTTTCAAAAAAAGTATTAATTGCTTGTTTAACATAAATTCTGTATTTTTTTTGGTGTGAGAGGGGGCGGGTGGTGAACACCACCTCCTGCCTCTCAGGGCCAGCACCGCACACAGACATAGAGACCCAGGGAGAGACTCAGACAGAGAGAGTGATACACACAAACAGCAGAGAGAGAGAGAGACACACACAGACACTCACATACACATAGAGAGACACACAGTGAAGGCGGTGAGTAGGGGAAAAGATGATCGAAGGTGCAGTCAAAGGGGTGCGTCTTTAGACGGACCTCGAAAGAGGTGAGGGAGGGAGGGAGTCCGAGGGAATCTAGGATCGTGTTCTCAAGAGCGGGGGCAGAATGGCTGATAACCCACCCGCCGATGGTGATGTATAAAGTGGTTAGAGCACTCGCCTTGCAAGCAAGAGACCTGGATTCGATTCCCGTTGGGTGAAATGTTCGGCAAGTTTCCTTACTCCAGGCACCTCTGTTTACCTAGCAGTAAGTAGGAATCCACCTAGTTATTAGTCGATTGACGGTTAGTTTTTCCTGGGGTAATAATTCCTTTTAAGAATGGTCACTTCAATCCATGACTGTTTGTGGGATGCTGCTGTGCGCAATTGGCTGTTGCGTTTCGCCCACAAAATATACAGTCAATTCATTTTACATTTATACTCTGTGAAGCGTTTTGAGACGTCTCGAAGATGTGATAAGGCGCTATATCAAATGCAAGGATTACTGTTATAAAAGCAGCGAAACTCAAACTCCAAATTCAAGCCACACAAATCTGTTTCAGCTCCTGCTGGGGCTCAGTCTACTTGATGGAAGGTGTTTCCATCTAAAACATTCAGTGTAAACCACTAGCCAAGCAGACCTCAAGCTCAGTTCAGCGCATCATTCATGTAAATTTCCTCTACGTCAGAGTTGTGTTGCTGCTCCATCTGCCAATCCTCTCTCCCGCCTCTCCCACATCACCAGCGAAAAATTAGCTCAATGTGTTTGATGTTGGGGCACGTGCAGACATGGCTATAGACGTCTCCTTAACATGACTCCAGGTTGCTGGAGGCAGTTTTTAAAACTGTGTCGGGAGGTATGCAACTGGCACCTTTCCAGAGAGGCCAATGGGGTGGGGTGGTGGGGTCGGTCATGAAGCAGGCGGTGCTCGCTGGCAGGGTCAGTAGGGTTGAAGAAGGTCATGGAGGGAGATGGCGCGAGTCCATGGAGGGTTTTGAATATAAGAACGAGTTGATTTGAATCTGTTGGGGATGGGAAGCCACTGGAGTTGAGCAAAGCTAAACTTGATCATTCACTTCCTCAAGGCTTGTAAGGCAATGCCGTGCGAAATCCAGACGATGAATATTGCCATTGTTGTGTAATCAAAAGTAAAAGCTGTAACTATGCATTGAGCAATGCACTGAGGTTGCTACCTATACAAAGGGAGGGGTGTGTCTTGGTGCAGAGTGAAGCAGAGAACGTCATCAATTACACTGTGTAAGGGATCAGAGCAAGTTGAAGTATAGGGAGGGAGTCATTGGTGCATTCATGGGAAAATTAAACCCAAAATGTTGAAACTATGCCAGATATCTAGCTTTGCAACTCCTGAATCAATAATATTAATAATAATAATAATAATCCTTGTATTTGATATAGCGCTTTTCACGTCGGGAGGACGTCCCAAAGCGCTTCACAGAACACACTGTAAAGTGAATTGACTGTATATTTGTGGGCGAACGCGGCAGCCAATTGCGCACAGCAATGTCCCACAAACAGTCATGGATTGAAAATGACCAATTTATTATTGTTTTTGGTTTTGGAGTGATTATTATTAGGCTCTGTGTGGAGTAAGGAAACTTGCCCAAGGTTTCGCCCTCTGCCTGGAAATGAACTCAGGTCTCTCGCTTGCAAAGCGAGTGCTCTAACCACTGAGCTACAGGACTCCGATAATACTAATAATACTCAGTGGTTAGAGCACTCGCCTCGCAAGCGAGAGACTTGGGTTTGATTCCCGGCAGGGTGAAATGTTGGGGAAGTTTCCTTATCCACACACCTCTATTTACCTAGCAGTAATTAGGAACTCAGTTGTTAGTCGATCGGTGGATCACTTTTCTGGGGGTAATGATTCCTTCAAAAAAAAATTAAAAATTGGTCACTCAATCCACGATTGTTTATGGAACTCTGCTGTGTGCAATTGGCTGCTGAGTTTCACCCACAAAATACAGTCAATTCACTTTACAGGATATCCTTGCGAATTGCTTTGAGACGTCTCAACGACGTCATAAGGCGCTGTATCAAATACAAGGATTATTACTTTTATTAACTGTAACTGGCTTGCGTCAGTTGAGCATTCATAGCACTGATGCTTTTTGAACCTTCGATGAGGGAATTAGGCTGTGGGCATTCTGAGAGTAAAAATACTTAGAAAACCACACCCACAAATGCGGATGTTGCTAACATCTGGAATGTCCAAACTGGAAGCTGCTTTTGCAGTGTGCGGTGTGGGTTTGCGGAATCACTTCAGTATAGAACCAGTTGG